TGTTGCCGTGGTCCAGCAGTGATGCCTGTCTGTTGCCATGGCTACAGAGCTCAGAGAGGGAAGTGAAACACTGACGAGCAGTTTCATCCCAACTCTCAGTTTTTGTTTGACTTGTTCTCTCTCTGCTCGAGCTGCCCACAGCCTGATGGTGCTGCCCCCTGCAGGGAGGAGCTGCATGAGGGGAGGTCTGCCACATCTTGTTCTATAGATGAATTCTAGATATCTAGATCTATAAAATTAGAAATGAAAGACGGGACATCGTCAGCATCAAGTTGAAGAATCAGACGGAGATTTTCTGCCTCTACATGAACATGTCCCATCTGGAGCAGCTAAAGTAGGACCACTGCAGCTGGAGCAGCACCTGAGGCTCCCTGCAGACCAGAGGAGGGTTTGCTCTGTTTCAACTTGTACAAATGATCAGTACAATAAAGTCAGAGAACTGCATGAACGGAGCAAATACACACGTTTCAGGATGAAGAGTTTCTAGTGGGAATAGGTATGAAGACTCGCTCTGATACCCACAACCCTGAAGGACTTTCAGCGTCCCAGGAACTTTAATATACGAATTCTTTACAACAGCAAATAGAGTTTGAAAAAGAAGAATCACACCCACATCACCTCAGTGTCCTCGTTTAAAACTTTACACTGAAAATGAGTTTTAACTTCTAACTTTGGTTTTATTGATTTATTTGACTCCTTGTCTCTCACTAACTTGTTTAAATTCATAATTGCACGGCAGGTTTTTTCTTTTCTGCTGCTGCAACACAAACAAACAGCAATTCAAGCATGATTCAACTTTTTTATTGTTTGTGTTTTTACATGTTTTCACAGGACGTCTTCAAAACATTACACATACACGTTTATGACTAAATGAGCAACAATCAAAGCTTAAAGAAGTTTAATAAATGTAAAGAACATTTATTTGCAGCTGAAATCAAAGCAGTTAAAGTACAAACCACTTGTGAACAGACTCAGTTTGGAGACTTTGGGCTCGTCTGTCGTTCAGGGAGAAAATGACATCTTTTGTGTTTGGTTTGTCTCAAACTGTGTTTTAGTTTGATTTGTTGGTCGATCACATGAAGGTGTTGCTGTGGAAAAACTCTCTCTCTCTCTCTCGGCTCATCTTCCATCTATCTCTTCCCTCCGATCTCTCCCGTCTGCTTCCCCGTTGTCTCCCGTCCTTCGTCTTTGATGACGTTTTTGAAGAGTGTGAGTAGCGGCCTCTGGTTGCGTTCGTCCCAGCTCTTCATGAAGCCACCGTAGCGTTTGCTGGCCGGTGGGCCGCTCCAGCGGAAGTGCTTCATCTTGTATGTGCTGTCTTTTTTCTCGTGGACATCATGGAGCTTCTCCTGCTCCCCCGCTGCCACCGTCTCCTGGTCTTCTGCCTCTGCGAGTTCCCGCCTGAGCATCTCTTCAGGGAACACCTCGGCCGACTCCTCCTCCACGCCATCGGAGGTGTAGACTTTGACCGGGCGACGCTTTCGTCCGACCGGCTTCCCCCAGCGGAAATGCTCCATGGAGTAGGAGCGCTTGGCCTGAGGGGTGGAGGAGGAGGAGGCCTCTGCAGTGAGGTCAGACTGACAGAGCTGGATACACTCCTGCAGGAGGAGAAACATTCTGCTGGTTACAGGTTCACAGAACATTGAACCCCGGCTCTAAAGTATTTGTTGGTGCTTTACTAAAAAATGTATTCTTATTATTGTGCGTGTCACCATCATGCTGCTCTCATCGTTGACCTCATGGCAGCTCGGATGGTCCCAGCATTGGTTGGCGTCTCCGCTGACCACACCCACCACAGTCACAGCCACCAATAGCCACACAGGACACATTCTCCTGCCGGCCAATCAGAGACAACAGCACACATTCATCATCGTCGTTACTCCTCAAACTGTTTTTAACTGTTCGATATTAAGACTGAAAAACGACCGATGACAATAACAAGATGAATTTATTTTAACAACAATAACATTTATTTGTAAAGCACTTTAAACATTTGTAGTTAAATTCAAAGTTTATTCCCAACATAAGAAAAG